AATTTTAATATTAGGACAAGAGATAACCCGAGTAAATACAAAAGGCAGTTTTTAAATGATGATTTGTACTTTATTAAGGAAAAAAGCTAATCCAAACCTTACCTGGACCTATGCTGAAAGTAATTGCCCCCTAAACCTAAATAACTGGTTGTCCACCTCGGCAGTAACAACTGCAATCAAGTGTTTGCAATAACTGGCAATGAGTCTTTCACAATCAGCTTTATGAGGAATTTTGCCCCACTCTTTTTGCAGGCTGTTTTAATTCAGCCACATTGGAGGTTTTCCGGCATGAACAGCCTGTTTAAGGTCAATGCCACGGCATCTCAATCGGATTTGAATGTCCAAAACTTTGGACTTAGGCCACTTCCAAAACCTTTAATTGTTATTTTTTAACTAGTTCAGAGGTGGACTCTGTGTGTCGGATCTTGTGCGCTGCTATAACCGCAAGTTCTGAACTTAATCAACTGGTTGAATGTCCTCTCCCTTCAGATTTTCTTAGAGAGCCGATATCATCTCCATTAATAGTTTGATGATCTGAAACATTTAAGTGGGACAAATATGCAAGAAAATAAGAAATCAGAAAGGGGGCAAATACTTTTTCACAGAACTGTATATATGTTGTTTATTTTAGAAATGATAGTTTACTTTTTGCTTATGCACTGTGTGAAATAAACCAGAATAAACTACAAAGGAACAGTTCTGCACTAAAGCACTAACGAGATCTATAAACACACATAATACTTGCAAAGATATATATGACAAGTGAACTATTTTTGATCTCAAGCCAAAAAAAAACTCAACTGCAACTGATGTGATGTGTCTCTTTTCTGCGTCTATGTACATGTGTGGGTTTGGCCGATCAACAGCCCTGTAGTTTCTGAATTTCCCGGTGAGAAAGGCCATTACACACCCAAACTGCACAAATAAGTCCACTTCAAACAACACTATCAGTCAGTCCAAATCTCCCTCGTTTCTTTCCTCATTTTCTCTGGGAACAATTCTTCTCTAAATGTGCTGCATCTATTTTCGTTTTCATTAAAAGGCGTTCATGTTGGTGTCTTTCACTGACTTTCAGCACAGTGTCACTCTTTGTGCGCAAGTGTAACTTTCTGGTAACCTGTCCACCAAACAAGAGTATAAATAGTCTCAATAACTGAGTGAGTGCAAGAAAACAGGAAGGGGCAGAGAATGCAGCTTTGAGCAGAGAAAAGGATGAATGATTGTTTCACTGGATGACTCTTTATTGTCTTTCTCCTCATTTCCTTTCTCATTATTCTCACTCCATTTCCTCCTACAGTTTCCTCTTTATCCTCCATTGCCTGATTTTCTTTCCTCTATGAATGTCAGGTTGTTCCCTGATTTCTTGGCTTTTCATTCTCTCTCAATTTCTGATGTTTTCAACTGCTTTGTTTCCTTCTGAGTTATCAGTTTGCACTTTTCATCTAGATTTTCTGAATATGTCTTTTGCTCTCCTCCATTTCATCTCTGTTTCATCTTCACTATATTATTTTGCATGTATAAAATGATATTTTCTTTCCTAATACTCATTTTTATTGCTTTTCTCTTTCTATCTCTTTTATCATCAGCATGTATTTATGCATGACTGTATTTTAATTATCACCAAATATAAAAACGATACATTTTTATAGAACATTACACAAATTTGTGAAAAATATCCATAAAATATATGTGTAGCACTTTTTAAAAACTAATTATTATATTTTCCTCTTTTGTCTGTGTATCATCCCATTGCTACTCAACTAAAATTCAAAAAGGTAAAATATTCAAATTTGATTTAAATTCAAATGAGAATACAGTAATGACTAGTGATGTCACAACAAGTAATAACAAAATATCTGCCGTCAGATCACACAATGATGCTTGAAGGTTCGAGCAGTATGACAGCATTTCCTGCTCCATGCAGACCTGCCCATTAATTATGATGAAAACAGGGGATTGTTGTTGTTAAATCATCTGTGATTGAGTACTTAGGATACATACAGGCAGGTCGTCCCACAGCTGGCTCTTTTTCATCTCCAGTGATGGCTGCGTCAGGTCAAACTTGGGAATGGGGAATCCTGGGATTGCGTTGTGGAGATGGAAGCCAAACGTGACCAACCAGATATTTATATCTACATAAAGAGAGCAGTGGATGAGGAAAAGAAAAAAAAAAAGCTGAAGAGTGAGTATGTATGTTGATTTGCACTAAATAGCAGAACAAACTCTGACAATAAATATGTATATTTTTGTATATTTCTTACGCCCTCTTATAATAATTCCAGACAAACATCTGGTGTCCCCTTAATGAATGCATTGTTGGAACTCATTACTATTAAAGTCACATATTAAATATGGTAAATGACATTCTGTTTTAAAAATAGCCAAATGCATTGTTATTCAGTTTAAAATAGTCCAGGCTGTAATTCAAATTCACATTTACTGTATTTATGAAAAAATAATTAAATAAACCATAGTGAACAGAAAGGGACCTACCGTAGAACTTTGTGGGACACCTATACTTTAACTTTAAAAGCTTCTAGGGCTGGAACCTTTGAAAACTGCTGCTAAGTTTCTTTTGATCCACTAGCTAGACATACAAGGAACTACAATATAGTTAGTGTTTTTAAAATGTTTCCTGTTACCTGTGACATATTCTTTGACCTGATGAATCTTGCTGATGGGGTTGTTGCCTCGGAACATGTAGAGGTTAAAGGGCTTGGGGTCTTTACCAACACGTGTCCATGTGCTGATGTCAGGAGTTGTCCACCTTCATTACAAACACATTCCGGTCAGATGTGACACTGACAAAGCTGGAACAGCATCCTGTTATAGAGAATCACCTATCATGCTTGGACTGGAAATGAGTGAATAAGTGACAGACTGCCTACCTCCCAGCAGGGATGTCATAGTCTCTGTCTCCAAAATGCAGCAGTCGTGTCAGAGGATCATACAGGCCTCCATGGAAACCAATTACCAGCACAAAGTCTGGGTTGGAATCAAAGTAAACCTCGCCATATGCTGTGTACTGCACCTACACACACACACAAACAGACATGTATGATCTGATACTGAGATACAAAATTATTTAATTAATGGAATTTGAACAGATAAATGAAACACATTTAAGTGCACAGATACCTGTTTAAGCAACAGTCCATTGTTGCTGAAGACAGCCAGTGGGGTCCCAGTGTTATCACATGCAATATAAAACTCCTCTCCACTACTGATCTCCATAGCAAACACATGGCCCTGTGCAACGATAAAAATTATACACATTATGAATAAAATCATAATAATGATTATTTTTGTTATTGCTGCTGTATTCTACAACTCTACAAGTGATAACAGCAGGGCTATTAATAATATTTTTTGTCTTGCTGCTGTTGATTCACAATAAAACAAATTAATCTGCAGCTGTCTCTGTTACAGGCTCCCTAACCTGTGAGGCATTTAAAGTAGCAAAAGATGTTTGTAACAATATTTTTGTGTGATAAAGTGGGGGCTGCTACAGAGAAAACCATTCCCTCCTCTCTAAAAAATTTAATTAATTGAGATGCTGCACATTCAAAATGTTTTCCCTATAGTCACTAGAGGAAAACCTGCTCCACATAGACTCAAAAGTTTAAAAAGTTGAGAGTGAAAACCAAAAGTGACTCAAAAATAGTAGTCATTGAGGGCTCTGTCCAGAAAAAGCTTGACTCCTCCATATTTGCCTTGTCTCTAGCTGGAGATACTGGAGATCATTAGAGTTAGGAAAATAAAGCACAGCATTTGACTATATTCATAATCACTTTTTCTGTGTAGCTACCTGCAGATCGTAGTAAAAGGATGTTATCTCAGAGCTAGAGTGGTTATAGACGTGGGTGATCCTAGTGGGGTAGTTCAGGTCAGCGTAGAAGAACTGCAGGTGTTGGCCCAGACTGTTTCTAGATGCCACACGCCGACCTAGACCGTCGTAACGATACTGGATGGTCCAGCTAGCCGCTTTACTGTAGACACGAACGAGTAGACCTAAATCACAGATGATAAAAAAGAAGAATAAGGATGTGAAGAATGGCAAGACAATAAGTTAGATGTTAAATGTGTAGAACTTCAAAGATGGAGACTTTGGTGGCCCCTAGTGGTCGAGGCAGACGACCACCCACCTAGAGCCGAAGGATCTGTCCTAGGTTTCTGCCTTTTAACAGGCAGTTTTTCCTTGCCCTTGTCGCCAAGTGCTTGCTCATGGTGGTACTGTTGGGGCTCTGTAATGTTAAAAGGAGTTTGGTGCTAAACGCCTGCTGCTAATTTTGAAGACAGTGTCCTGAGATAACTTCTGTTATGAATTGACGCTATACAAATAAAATTGAATTGAATTGAATTGAATTGAATCTGCAACCCCAAAGGTTCCCCCTAATCAGCAACAGACATTATAGATTTCCATTTCAGGAGTTATCCTTGTCATGAATATTC